CCTGCTGCGCAAGCACAAGGACCCGAGTTCAATCCCCGGTACCAAAAAACTTTTTGTATACTCTTAAGGATGTATAAATCTATTCCTTATAATAAAATATTCCACCATTGTTAATATCCCTGATGTGCATCTGTCTCACTAGTATGGAACACTGTCTGTGATATTTTATGCAAATGCACTTTTCATGACATATATAACAGGATGCACATACTGTTTTACCTCTATATGTCTATTCATTCATCCAACAAATACTATTTTAAATGTATTAATCCTATACCATGCATTATATATATTTTTAAAATACATTTTATCCCTATGTACAGAAGCTTTGTTTCCATTTTTTTCCTTCTATTTTCACTTTTTTTCTTGTCCCTCCCTTCCTTTCTCCCTCCCTCCTCCCTGTTCCCTTCCCATTTGAACACTTTCTTCCCATTTCCCAATATCTATTATACATTTCAGTCCTTATTTCCACTTTCAGTTTCTCACACCAGAGAAACAATGCGGCGTTTAAACACGCATGTCCGATTTATTTCACTGAAGAGTATGGTCTCAAGGTGCATCCATTTAGCTAGAAATGTCTGAAGCTCGTCCTTCTTTATGGAAGAGTAGTACTCCATTGTACATTATATATTTTTATGACTGCCTTTTACATTCTCTTCCTCCTGGACCTCCTCTTCTAGAAAACTGCTGTTTCTTTTTTTTAGAATTTAACCAAAGCATAATCTGAAGCTCTACCTGATTCTCACACAGAACTAGTCCTTCTACTAAGCGTCAGGGTCCTCTGTCCCCCACAGCAGTGCCCTGAAATGATTTCTTTACATGTCTGTTCTCCCACTGGACACTGAGCTCCCATGTCCATCGTGGTGCTGGCAGAGCACGGCCTCAGTGGGGCACAAGTAAAGCTCTTTACTACAGGATGCCGCACTGTGCTCTCTTGATATGCACAGGGCATTTTAAGTACTCTTTTATTGCCTGGGCTTGATAAAATATAGCAAATGTATTCTGTGGTTTTGCTTTTTAAAATTCTTATTCATATGACTATTGACAAATCTTTAAAGCTTTATTGAGGGATAATTTACATGCCATAAAATCATCTGTCTAAATCGCTCAATTCAGTGACTTTTAGTAAAGCTTACAGTGTTGCACAGTTGTCATTGCAATCTAATTTTAGAACAAGTCCCCTACCCTAAGAAGATCCCAATGAAGATATTTTTTTTTAAATTGGTAGAAATTTCTGTGCAGTGAGTCAACTGGATGACCTCAAAATGTGTCATTGTTTGGGGTCTAATCTGTTTGGGGCACACTATGCTTACAGGCAAGACCAGGCGCCTAGTGGTGCTGCATCCTAAAAAGACAGTAAGGGTCACGAGTCCCCCTTCAGGGGCCTCTCTGTGATATACTCTCTGCTAGGCCCATTATGTATATATGAAGAGTGACCTAAAAATGACAGTGAATGTTTAAATGTACAAGACCATAGATCCTCCTCAGAATCCTCCCTGTCACTTTGAACACACCACGTTATTCTTGCCACTTTCTGAAGTGGTTCTGGAAGCCCTTGTTTGTGTCTTCAGTTGTACTGTCCTGGCTGCCTCAATGTCCTAATTCCAAATGTTAAGCTTTCATGGTCATTTGACCCCAGGGAAAAGCCAGATGTCACATGGTGCCAGGTCTGCTGAATAAGGTGATCAGGACACACTGCAGTGTTTTAGAGTCTGATTTCCCATCGGATGGTGCTCCGCAGCAGCGTTCACCATGCTTTTGATCACAACTCATGAAGACATGAACTATCTCAGAAAGTGGCAAGAAGAATGAGATAAGTGAGTTTGATGTGAGGGGCAGTGTACGGAAGGAGATTAATGGCAGTGTGCCTTTTACTGTAAGAAATTTTTAAAATTTAAATATTCATATATTTTGATCACCCTGTGTATCACGTCATTTGAGATTAGAGGATAATAACACACAATGCGCTTGCCTTTTTCATTTAATATGTCAGGACTTCACAGAAGAGAAGAAAGTAGCTCGAGGTACCCCAGCTGCATACCTTGCTTGCCTTAAACATCCAGTGGTTATGCATCAGGCCATTGCCGCGTGCCTCTATGAAAAGACGAATCTCAGGAAATGTATGAACAAATTTGAAAAGCTGATACTTAATCTGAGGAGAGAGAAGGTGGCTGAATTGAAAAGATAACACTCTGAAGTCAACCTTTTCTCTGACTTGGTTGCGTAAAGTTTGGCTTGAAGCTCAGTGCCACATTCTGAATTGGGTCACACAAATCCAGGAGTGTGTTTGAAAAGCTGTGCAAAAGGAGCGGGGCCCTGAAGCCTGAGGGAGGTGGCAGTCAATCCCGTGAGGGGATCGTAGGGCAGGTTCTGGTCCTCGAGGCCTGAAGGGAAAGGTGAGGGGATCTGCAGGAGGGCGAGGATAAGAGCTCTAGACACCCCTTGCAGTATGGAGGGCGACCTCATTTAGGTCAACAAAATCAACCTAGGTTTTGTCAGAATGTCTTGTGTGGCGCCATCGAATCGTGAGTGGATTTTATGGTGACTGCTGTGATACCTCCCTCAGCCATGACACTCTGTGAGAAAGACACACTGCAATAGTGGGAAACACACAGAATGTGAAGGGCTGCTATCAGAAATGAATGGAAGACCAGCTCAGAGCCTGACAGACACAAGGGCTACATTTCAACAAGGAAAGATACTTCCTGGAATGAGGCCACCCATCGGAGGCCACATGGGTGATGCCTGGGCCTGCAGTAATGAGACCTCTCGCTCGTCCCATGATGGTTCCTGCTCACCCAGGAATGACTCAACCAAAGACCGAGGGGCAGCCTCTTGAGACCAGTTTTATATTTGTTCCACTTCTCCAGGAGGTCGTGGTGCTGTGACTCTGGGTGATTTCTATCGGCATAACAAGGAAGACTTGCTCCCCTTCCTATCAAAGAGACAATAGTTTTGACAGGGAGAAGTGGGGCCCCCCAAAGAAGTGCAGAAAGTGCAGTTTTCATTTGCATTGTGAAACGTGAAAATAAAATTGTTAGCTTTTTTAGTTAAAAAATACACTGAAACATTAAGGCCTGCTGCTTTGGGCACGGCTTATTTGGTCTTAAAATGTTAACGTGGGTTGACACAAATGGACAGTGGTATTAGTTAGAATATTGGTTTAGGGGCTGGGGGTGTAGCTCAGCAGTCAAGTGCTTGTCAACTGTGCACAAGGCCTTGGGTTGAATCCCAGCACTGGGAGGGAAATACTGGTTTAGTTCCTGTACCAGATACAGTAGTGGCTTAAACAAAACAGAAGTCCATCTTTTTCTCGGGTGATCAGGGTTCTGCAGAGTAGCTCCGCAGCATTACGGATCCTCCTTTCTTTACCTCTCATTGCTTCACCATTGTTAGCACATGACTTTCGCCTTCCTGTGAATAGGGTAGATCTAGCTCCTTCCACCACAGCCACATTCCAGCCACCAGAAAGAGGAAATGGCACAGGTGGGTTCCCACACATCCCTCATCTTTAAGGGCATGACCAATAATTTGAGATAGGGTCTCGCTAAGTCCCTAGTTGCCCATAGGCCAAGCTCAGAGTACCTGTGATCCTCCTGCCTCAGCCTCCCAGAGTGCTGGGATTATAGGCATGTGGCTGTTTTTTATGTCTTATTAGATAGAACATGATCACAGGCCACATACAGCTACAAGAGAAGTCATAAGAGAGGTGGCTTGGGATGGGGCCACTGAGAGTAGGAAAGAGATTAAATATCTGAAGCTTCAGCTGCAGTGTAGTGAAGAAAGAATGAATATTGGAGGACAGCTGGCACTTCTGCCCCACCATTCTGCAAAGATGAGTTTAACATGAAAAAGATGGACTTGTATGTAAGGAGGAAGACGATATGGGAAGCCTTAGGCCAGACTTGCACTTAAGCCCTCTCCGTTTGCATCTGGGCCAGATTTGACCAAATCCATATACCTTTGTTGAAATGAATCTCCCATGGTTGGAAGGCACACACTTTTGCTTTGAAGTTGGCAATGTATCAGTTCATTTATTGTGACACAGTGTCAGCTTGAACTCATGTTTTCCCAGAAAAATACATGTGACAGCTCCGGCATTGACATGTGCATTGAGCATCCATATAGCAGTTTACCTGGGTAAAGACTGGATTGGCATTTTCTTTCTTCAGAATATTTCTAGGGAAAAAATTCCCTTCTCATCAGAGTACTGATATGTGACATTGTTCTGGCATGCACTCAAACTTTATTATTACAAAATGGCATTTGTGTCTTAGGGAGCTAATGTAATCTAGGTGTCAGGAATTCGTGTTCCAACTTCAGTACTCAACAACAATGTCACCTTGACCAAGCTACTGAACTTTGTTACTTTTCTTGTCTAATAATGTCTCTAAAGACAGTTGAGAAGTAGCCTCCCTCAGTAGTGTATGTATTTGGCCAATAATGATGGAGTCCTTAAAAAATGCACTTGTCATCATTTGATTGTTGGTTATTGGAGAACCACAGATAGTCTGAACTTTAAGGGTGAGTTTTACTCATAATTGCCTAGATCAACAAAAGAAATGAATGTGAAAGATAGCTTTACTTTTTTTTTTTTGCTCAGAAAGGATTATTTAAGTTCTTGAGATTAGAAAGCTTAAGTAATCTTGGTAGGCAGGCTATTTCTTGTAATAACATATGTCCTTTTCTGAGAATGCATTTTGGGAGACATCAATTGCACCACCAGTCTTTTATTATTTGAAGATCTCTACCAGTGTTACATGTTAGGCAAGACTAATTGTAGCCAAGTTCACGGAAAGTTGCCAGTGTTATCTCCAGTAATTTCATCTGGTTTCTTTTTATGCACTCCTGACACAGCCAAATTATAGACCATATAAAATAAACTGCTGTCTGTAGGAGTGGTGAGTAGTTTAGTGATTCCCTTCTCTTGTGTGTGGGTGGGTTTCCTTCACTCGGTTGCCTTTCCCCTGCCATCATCAATGTTTTGTTTTCTCTTGCAGATGACACAATTGGTGCTGCCTGGCATGGTAGAAAGGTGAGTCACGAGCTCACACACACACACACACACACACACACACTGTGGATGCAGAGCTCATTATTATTTATAGGGAGAACACTCTCTTTGAAAATTTCATTAAAATGACTAATGAAGCTAACCTCCATGTCTTAGTGCCGGGCGAATCACACGGTGGAGCATGAGTCACGGTGGAGGAGGCCTTTTCCACTTGACTCTCTCTTTCCCTCTTTAGGGTTGTGGGGGTTCCTGCGGATCAGGATTTAAAAGCCAGCCTGAGTCATCATCACTAACTCAATTGCCTGCTATTCTGAGGGGGCAGCCAGAGTTCCTGGGATATTCCCAGGAATGCCTTCTTAAAGCTGTATCCTCTCAGAGCCTTTATCAGTGGAGTTTTGTGAGGCACCGGCCTCTGCTTTTTCAGTTTTTACTGGGAGAAAGGCTGTGAGAGGAACGTAGGCATGTTAGGAAGTGATCTTATGATGTCAGATCCACCTTTGGAGGAAAAGGCAGTACCTCCTGGCCCCATCTGTGTTGCGGCTTGGGTTGGGTACTACCAAGATGTACTGGAGGTCTTCTTTTTCTTGAGAAATGTGTGGTAGGGTTCTTACATTTGAAATAATGTGCAGTGTAAAATTGGAAGTAAGCTTTGTTCCTTCCTTGGAAAAACCTGAATGATGGGTAAGCCTTCAAAGAAAACCTGTTGAAAGAGCAGGGCTTGCATCTTGAGCCAACTTGATCACTTGCTGAATTTAGGGCTTCATAGTCATTCTTCCTGTGCAAAATAGCCTGGAGTTTGGAAGAGACCCAAAGGAATCACAGCTTTGCAAATGGAAGACCTGAGACCCTGCTTCTGCTAAGAGACCTTGGTGACCAGCTCCAGGCAGATATTTGAGTACTTTCATGTGCCAGGTGTTGTATCCACAACTTAATCTTTGTAGATGAAGAGACTGAGGTTAAGGATCCATTTGTTGCGCATCTACAGAGACTGATCACAAAACTGTTTCTTAGCACAGTTCTTTGTAATTCCGTTTTATCTGTACCGTAAAATTTCCCTTTAAAATCTTCAAGCTGCTCATTGTTGGTTGACATTGGAAATGAGGTCCTGATGGTCAGATATGGAAATGGCTGTGGCCAAACCAGCTGAGAACACTAGAACAAGAGCAGAGTTAGAGACAGAAGAGAACCTAGGAAGAATGAAACTTGGCCCGTCATCTTACTCCAAGTTTTGACATCTGCAAGTGACATACTCATGAGGATAGTAAGGCCATCCACGAAAAAAGAAAACTTGAGCTGGGCCGTGTGGCTCAGTGCTAGAGCACTTGCATGCATAAGGCCCTGGATTTGACGGGGAGGGAAACCCAAATATTTATAAACCACAGAGGTACTCTAACAGAAATTCTTAAGTGTGTTGGTGAAAACCATAAAAAAAAAAAAAGATATGGTTGCAGAATCATTTTGCAGAGTATAAAGTATTGGATTCAAAGAGCTGTAGAAATCTAGTGCTCTAGGTTACTGGAAAACATTCCCCTCATTTGACAGGTGACAAAATTGAAGTCCAAAGAGATGGAGTGCTACATTAAGTCAGTTAACAGTACAAATGTAAAGAGTAGGAACTTCACTGCTGTCTCTACAGACCTGCCAGCCACAGTCACAGTAAGAGCATCCATTAAAAGCAGTGCAGAAAATTCATTTAATGGGCCTTTATTGAGTACTGTTTATTTTGGAGTATTCAGAAGGTGAGTTGGATCCTTGTCTTTGAGAGATCAAGTTGATTTTTGACCTAAGTCGAGAAGTGACCTGGGGGAAACCATCAGAGGCTGTGGGCTGAAACTGACCTCAGGGAAGTGATTGTTGCACATTCCAAGGACTGGCGAAAATGTACATGGATTTTATGAATCAGTCCTTTTGGTTAGGAGAAGAACATTTATGTTGACTTGAATTTAAGGAGTTGCTAGGTGCAGTGGTCAGCATAGGCTAACTGCAGTCACAGATTACCCCACATCTCAATAAGTTAACATGGTCAAGTTTACTTTTCCATCGCATCTCTACCTTGTCATTCAGGAAACTGAGGCTCCTTCCACCTAGGGCTTCATTATTTTTGGAGGTCTTGGAGTTGTTCACAGCATCCAGCTAGGAAATGAGGGAAGAGTGAATGGGAATGATTTCAGGGAGGTTTCATGGATCAGCCCCAGAAGTGGTGGACGTCACTTGTGCTACTATCCCATTGTCTGGAACGCAGTCTGCCACAAGCTACAGCAAACTGCAAGGGAGACCAGAAATGTTAGTGATGCTCAGGAGGAAAGAAAAACTCCCAAGCGAACAGATCATCTGAAAGCAGTCTCAGTTACACGTTATAAGTGGTTTCATGACAGGGCACTCTTTATACCACCCCAAAATGGCCCATTTCTGCTGTTGATTTTCATAGGATTGATGTCTCTACTGAGTAACAGCAGTGTGCTTTAGAAAGATCCTTTGTTACTTACGTTTTTGTTTTTTTTCCTTTCACTGATTCTACCTCTGATGTATGAGATTTTCCAAAGCCTCTAGAACTATAGCCTAGGGCCAACTGACTATCGCTAAACAAGTATCTGTAATCAAACTAAGTATTATTATCATAGAAGTAGAAAGAGCATAATTACATTATAGAGGAAACTTGCCCTTTCTACTTCCCTGGAATTATAAACATTGTGTACAGCTGGAGCCAGGAGGTGGTTGCTATAACAACCATGGAAAAGCTAAAAATAGCCTCTTTCATATTGTATTGCTTAAGGTGGAATTATGACATGTTGTGGTGTTTTAGGGCAGGTAATTCTCTTTCATGTGCTAAATGTTTGCAAACTTTCTTCAACAAAGCCATATTTGTATAATGTAAGTATTTGGATTGCTGCCTCTTAATTATGTACCTGACCCCTGTGTTCCAGGATTCTTTTCTGACATAGAATTCTGTGTTGATATGTTTCTTTGTCTTTGTGAGTCTATTGGAGAACTTTCTACACCAATTTCAGTATTGTGTTTATGCTTAAAATATATAAAGTGGCCCTGCAAGATCATGCTTACGTCTTCTTGGATGTGAAGAATTGAGATGAAGACTTGTGCACATTGGCCCCTCTCTTCCATCACATTCTGTACGTAGCTGTCCACACTGACTGACCTTGTGGTGCCAGCTCTCTGTAGCTGCATTTGCACCTCCCCGCCTCTCCTCACCTGCATTGTGGGGCAGCACTGAGGTTTCTCGAGGAAGGCAGAAATCGGTGACTTATTTCAAAGGAGACCTGTCCCTTCCTCTGTGACACAGTATTTTTATAGAGGAGGACAAGGATCCTGCAATAGTCTGTTAGAACGGTGGGGCTTTTGTAGAACAAAGGCTTGGCAATTTTGTTTTTAACCAGGTAACAAAGAGTCACATCTGAATTGCACAGGTCTGAGGGAATTCTCTCACAGCGCATAGCTATAGGAAACTATAAATGCAAGGTACTGAATTTTATAGTTTGGGTAAGTGTAATGTTTGGCTTGTGGGAGGTCTAATAATGGAAGAGAATATATTTATATGAAAAGGTGCTTCCTTATCCGCAGTTGTTTTCTGCTTTATTTTTGCAGCATTTTAGTTCTAATAGATCCTAAAGTAATTTGTACAGACACCATTATGTGACTGCTAGCAAGTAAGCAGTGTGATAAATTAAGAAGGTTGCATCACAGAAAATATTTCTTGACTTGTTTATTTAGATGTTTGTCATAACAAACCAGGAAGTATGCTGAAGTGTGAGCAACATGAATCTTCATTATAGAACTTGTATAAAAATTCTTAATGTACCTTCAAATCTTAAAATTGTTTCCCAGTCCCCAGAAAGTAAGAGATTAATCTGGGTGGTTTGGTTTTGTGTTTGTTTCTGTGTGCAATTAAGCGTAGCCCATTTTGCCCTTCTGCTTGATATAACAGAGTTGTCACGAGTCTGGCTGTGCCATGGAAACCGGTTTGACGTCACTAATTCCGCTTAGATGGAGGATTAGAGCCAGACAAAGTAGTTGATCTACAGACGAGTCCTTTGTGCCTCACAGTCCCAAATGTTCCCTCCCATTTTGACATAAAGAACAGATACTGTATATAGCAGAGGACTGAGGCAGGCTGCACCAGTCATTGGTGATTCAGACAGAACTAAGTGGAGTATTATATTGGGGAATGGAGAAGGGGAAGGAGAAGGAGAGGGAGGGACGGTGGGGAGAGAGAAAGAGAAAGAAAGAGAATGAATTGTGTGCTGTTGGGTGTGTGAGCGTGTGTGGGAAGGTTTTTGCCAGACAAATGTGTGTGCCTGATGGTAGGACAGAGACTTGTAGATGGGTTGCTTTCTCTACTGTCGTGTTTTAAATGCTGTCCTTTTATTTACTTCGGTCTAATGCATTGTCTCTTTATATAGCATTTAGATGGTCTTAAATTTGTTTTAATGTATTTTACAATGCAAATACTATGTTTTGGATAAGGTACTCTTAAAATTCTGACTTTCTACTCACCTAGAATAGCTCTATCTCCTAGAAATTATAAATTAGAGTGGAATATGTGAGTAACAAAGATCTTCACTGCCTCAAGGAATAAATAAGTGAAGGAGCATGACCACATAATTGTGACATACTGGATTATTGATGCTATTTTTTTAGTGGGAAAGAAGCTTTTATTATCTTTTATGACTTTTCCTCTGTTGAAATCATGGATTTGGTGAATGAAGTTTTAAGAGTCAGTTTGATGAGTTCAAGATTTAATTTTTAAAAAGTATTTGATAAGGTGAAACTTTAACCTTTAAGGACTTTTAAATTGCATTTCATTTGTGAGAGATGAAATAAAACATGTAGAGTCTTTGTTCAGGGGCACACACAACCACCCCAGCTAGTTTGAGTATAATGGAGCATAGAACCCAGCTGCTAAAACTGGCACTAATAGGCTGTTGCCTCAGTGAAAAACATCATCTTCATCTACTTCACCTGGCTTTCTCTTTGCTTGCTCTGTATGAGTGAGGATATTGCAATTCCTAGTTATATGAGAACAGGTTAAAATCAAAACCCACACCTGCAAGGCACCTTGGTGTGTGGGAGGGGTATTGTCAGGATTTGTGGTCACTTTGCAAACCATATTGTGTTGCATGAGCTCTTTAGCTTCCACTTGATTGAAATCTGACCCAACGAAAAGGTGATGTTTTCTAGTATGTTGCAAATAGGTGTTTGTCTCTTTTTACACCATTAGTGAGATATATTTTACATATTGTAAAATGTCTACTTAAAGTACACAGTTCAGTGGCCTTTAGAGTATGCACAGAGCTGTGCAACTATCACAATTTCATTGTAGAACATTTTCAGCGTCCTAAAAAGATGAAGATAATTTAAACATCATAAATTAATACTATATTAAAAGTCTCCTGTAATAAAAGTGGTTTTTATTCCATTTCTATCGAAGGAATTTCTCATACATAGTTAAAATAAAATGACTAGATATTAATTGCTAATTAATTCACCAAGTTTTACCTTAGAGGGTTGGGTTCTACCTTCTGATACAAACTTAACTTAAAAGAAAGAAAGAAAAGGCCTGTCTGTTTCAGAGACAGAAAAGCAAAAACTACAAGAATGATGTAATTGACCATTATTTTCAATTTTTTAAAAAAACAACATTTTTAAATTTGAAGTTTTATTTCTCTCATCAAAGTGTTAATGGATTTCTCTGCTTAGAACAGTATATTTTACCAACAAGGACTTCCTTTTTTTAAAAAAACAAAACAGTAAAAACTTGTTTCCGGTGACACACATTAAGCTGAAGACTCGGGCTTCCCTTTGATGGTTGGAGTGGCATCTTGCCTAGAGGCTGGCAGATGGAGTGGGTGACCTTTGGGGATTATTTCCCTTCAGAGTTATATCTAAAATAACTTAGATGCCATTTAATCATGTTTCTTCTGTTTTACATATAAACGGTCTGGTAGTCCCTTTAATATTAAAAAAAACCAAACAACAGCAGGCTTTGGGAAATAAATTCAGACATAAAAGAGAATATTGGGTGGAGGAAAGGAACCCAGTATGTATGATGGGGAAGTGGATTTCTGGGGTGTAGCTCAGTGGTGGAGTCCTTGCCTAGCAAGTCTGGTCCCTAGCACTTTAGGGTGGGAGGAAGGAGAAAGAGGAGGCCCTCTCTGAGAGAAACGGATTTAAGCGGGAAAGTTGGAGGTCAGATCTGGTATTTCCCAAAACCTAGCTCCACATGTTAACTAACTTATACATAGTTGTAAATAACATATATTTACAGCATTGCTTTTCTCCAACTGTTTTTCATTTATTAGTAGAATTAGAAATTCCTGGTAACTCTCTGACTTTTAACATTAATACTCTACAAGTTACAGAAAAAACCAAGCTTTGGCTTTTGCCTTTTGAATAAGGTTTAATGAATTATAGAGTCATAATTTTAGAGTCCGCTTGGGTACCCAAATATCTACGACCCAGGGCAAGTGTGAGGACAGGGCATAGTCATTCATTCATTGCTGGGAGGTTTTGTGAAGCACCTGTTTGTTACAAGTGTTTGAGGAAAAGCAGGCTCTAATGTTTGGGACCTTACGATTTTGTTGGGGGGGAAATGTCTATACACATAGAATGATTAAATATTACAGCAAGGTAGTACGTGATGATCCACCAAAATAAAGGTGTGTGCACATCGGTAAGTGGGGTTTGAGAGGTGGGGGGCAGTACAGTGCTGGGGATCAGACCCAGGGCCTTGCACTGTTAGGCAAGTGCTCTACCACTGAGCTATACCCCAACCCTGTAAGGAAAATCCTTTTTGCCACTGCCAGAGAGGACCTGAGAGATCAGAGACCAACTAGAGGGAACTGTAGAGCTGATCCCCTCATGCCCTGGATTACTAAGACTGGGAAATGAGCTAATTGTAAAGAAGAGCTATTTTTAGTTGATTGAATTATGCCTCATTCACTGACCAAGCATGTCATGCAATGACAGGAGATGAAAGACAGGAGAGATGTGTGTTAGCAAAGCAGTGATGTTACTTGGTTTCAAGTAATTATGTGTATATCTTGATCTGTAATCCACAAATGGCTGTATTTATGATTTCATTCCATTGACCTGGTACATTTTCCTTTTTAGGTCCAAAGGAGTGATTCTGAACATCTCCTCTGCCAGTGGCATGTCCCCGGTTCCACTCTTGACCATCTATTCTGCAACCAAGGTGGGCAACATTTTTGTAAATTATGTCACTATAAGAGAAAAGAATCATTTTTACTCTGTGCAGTTAACATAGATGTAAGTCTCTCGAAGATCCATTCTTGGGAGTTATCCACTGACTAAGAAGGGAAGGAAAATACCCAACATGAGTTTCAGGAAACCCACAACTGGGGAAGTCCAGGCAGGTAGAGACTTCTAAGGGGACACCAATGTGTCAGAGCCACTGATGTTTACTTTTCTCCCAGTAGTTTACTGATTTTAAAGTAACACTTGTGCTGTCCCTGGAGAGCTGGCCTAGGCCAGTTAGCTTAGTGAATGAGAACATGATGCTAATGAGGCTAGGACTGGCCATTTCGCACACGAGTGAGTCAGCCTCACACAGCACAGGAGAAATGCATCCAGGCAGTGCACAGATGTGCACAGGAGGCACAAGACAGACTGGCGAGAGTGTAACTGTTTTGCCACATTATCCAGATCTCTTGGATATCTGTTGTCACTTCTAGGGTATCACAAGAATTTTCCAGAACTCTGTGTAAAAGGTCATTATCTCCCACATCACCATTTACTTCCTCACATTACTGCTAGAATAATAATTTAAAACACATCTCGTGCTGCCTGCAGGTCAGTAGCATCACCTTCAGATGCATTACTGAAGCATGGAATACATTTCTGAAGGAAAAAATGACCATTTAGACATTGAAATTAAGCAAGCTTTTAGGGAAAAAGAAGCAAATTTAATCTATAATATGAATTTGCAATGTGTCATGGAGGAGAAAGAGCAAAAGACCTGTCTTCTTTTTCACTTGAAAAGTACTCAGTCACTATGATCTTTTGAAAACCTTTGGCATCACCTCCCAACCCCTGTAGCCTGCTCGCTTTCTGTGTCTCTGGACCATACTGCAGGCATGCTTTAAATGACGCCACATGTGGGAAGTGATTGCTGAACCCGAACCTCCTACCTGTTCCCCATGGACACAGACTTTTGCTCATTGGGACCTTGGAGTCATTCTTGGTCCGTCGTATGTCAAGCCTGAGGTTGAGTCTACATTTGAGGAAGGGGTAGATTACATTCATAATCATTTACAGATAGATTTCAGGTTGCATTAGCAGAAGAAGATGGGCTCTCACATCCACTTCTTGGATTTTACCATCTTCTTCTCACAACAACAAAATCCCCCTAGAACAGGGTTGAACAGAATTCATATTATGTTTCTCCTCGAGTGGCAAGTAAAAAATAGAAGTACATCTTTTGTTACATAGAAATACTTTTTCTTGTAAAGTAATTTTCTGGGGGGAAAAAGGAGAAGGAGAGCCTTTTCCAGTCAAATCAAAATTTGGCATGGACATTATATTTGGTTAAGATAATACTTCATTTAGTGGCAGGTAAAAACCACTTGAGGTTTTGAGGTGTTTTTAAAACGTTTCTTCTGCATTGGAAATGAAAAGAATGATTAGAAGTGATAGTGTTAAATGGTTAATGATTTTTTTGTTTCCATGGCTACCAATCAGACAGATTGATGTAATGCATGTTCCTTCTCACTCCCACCACCCTCTTAGGCTTTTGTAGATTTTTTCTCTCGGTGCCTCCATGAGGAGTATAGGAGCAAGGGCATCTTTGTGCAGGTGAGTGGAGTTTGCTTCAGTTAAGTATTCCTGTTTTTGTGTGGTTGCCACAGCAACAGTTGCTGTCTTGGCAACAAAAGAAAATCACATTCCTCAGTCAGTGACTGTGACGTCGCACACCACTAAAGAGGTGGGTTCTTTTCTCCTTACGCACTTAAGTCCAGATTTTTAAAAATTATACCCTAGAATTTTTAAGTAAGGGTACATAACAGAGAACTAAATGCAGGAGAAGCAGTTGATGCATAATTATTGTAGGTTCTTATGGTTTTATTTTGAGAGAATCAGATTATTGATATCCCTTTTAAATTGTGGTAGAAAATACATAACATAATCTTTACCACTTTAATCGTTGTTAAGCATGTAATCAGTGGCATTTAGTACATTGATATCATTGTGTGCTCACAGCCACCGGCCATCTCCAGAATATTTCTCATCTTCCCAAACTGAAGCTCCATACACATTAAACCCTAACTCCCCACGTCTCCTCTCCCTATCCGGTGGTAACCTCCATTCTCCTTTCTGTCTCTCTGAAGTTGTCTGTTCTTAGTACTCCTTATGAAGGAATCACACAGTATTTGATCTTTTGTGGTCAAATTACTTATTTTCTTAGGCTTATTTCGCTCAGCATAATGTTTTAAAGGTTCATCCAGGTGGAGGCATGTGTCTTAATTTTCTTCAAAGGCTGAGTAACATTTCCCATGGTTTGTATGATATACCACATGCTGTTTAGCCACTCTTTCACTGATGGGTACACATGTTGCTTCCACTGCTGGCTGTTGTGAATAATGTTGAAATAGACAGGAGGTACAAATACTGTGTTTTCAAATCTTATGGATGTGTATGCAGAAGTGGAATTGCTGAATTATCGCAATTCCATAAATTTCCTTAAATATTTACAGAACTCTAAGACTGTTTTCCTTATCAGCTGTGCCATTTTACATTCTCACTAGCAGTTGACAAGGGGTTCCAATTTCTTCACCTCCTTGCAAACGTTTGCTGTCTTCTGGGATTTGTTTTGTTTTTATCTAGATGGATGTGAAGTGGTATCTCATCATGGTTTTGATTTCCCTTCCCCTAATGATGTCGAGCACCATTTGGGGAACCTCTTCAGGTACTTCTTTTTTTTTTTGGTACTGGAGATCGAACTTGGGACCTTGTGCTTGAGAGGCAGGCGGTGGAACCACAGAGCTAAAACCCTGGCCCAACCTTTTCAGGTTCTTCTTGGCCATGCGTGCATCATCTTTAGAGAAATTTCTATTCAAATCCTTTGTCCAGTTTTTAGCTGGGGTTTTAGTTGAATATTAGGAGCTCTTGATTAACTTGTATGTTAACCCCTTATTAGATATATAATTTATAAATATTTACTCTCTCTCCTTGAGTTGCCTTTTCACTTGCTTGATAGTGCACAAATATTGATATATCTTTTTAGTTTTCACAATAGTCCAAGTTACCTACTTTTCCTTTGGTTTCTGGTATTTTGGATGTCATAGCCAAGATATCCTTACCAAATCCTATATCGCAAAACTTTTCCCTCATTTTCTTTGAAGAGTTTTATAGTTCTACTTCTTATGTTAGGTCTTTGATCCATTTTGAGTTAATCTTCATATAGACCTTTGAGTTTATTATATAGTTAGTAGATTCAATGTTGTAAAATCCAATACAAAATAAAACAAGAAGCAAAAGTAAGAGTGTTTATAAGGGCCTATCTCAGATCAGCTATTATTCAACCCAAAGAAACAGTGGCTCACAGTATTTCTGTTCTTAGGCACATTTTTGAAAGTTGTAACTCCTACCTCTTTCCTGCTTCCTCCCATCACCCACCCTGTCTCCACACACACCTGGTGTCACTATGGCTTTCCTTACTGTGAGCCTTCTGTTTTTGTTTTTGCATCTTAAGTCCCCAAATGATCAATCAAAGTAAAAATTGAGTATTTGAGTAATTTTCAGGCACAGTGCTTAGCATTTTATATGTATCATTTTGCTGTGTTTCACAACAATCCCATAAGGTAGTGTGATTATTATCTCTTTTTAAACTTGCTGAAATTGAACTTTAAAAAGGCTAAGCCATTTATTTGCCCATGCTAAACCAGGATTCAGATCTAGGTTTGATGAACCCCAAAGCCCTTCTGAACCCCTGATCTACTTGCTGCAGACCTGCAGGTCAGCGTTGACCATTGTTGGATCCACCTATGCTTAGGAAGCCATGAGACCAGAGGTGCTGGATGCTTCGGCCCATCTCATCCTTTGTTACCCATGGTTAATCGGGGCCTCGGAGCTATCTAGCTCTAGCTTCTGAGCCTTGTTAGTCATCATTGTGAGCGAGTGGTAATGACAGCCAAGGCAAGGTATCTCCTCATCTTGCAGGGCCCACCAAAGAGGCTGCTTCTGCTAAACCCCCACCTTAGCTTTTGTCCAGAGGATGCTGAGATGTCATAGCCACCTGGTATTATTTTGATTTGCAGTTTCCCATGTAAACAGGATGCATGGGGAGGACAGGATTTTCTAGAATCCAAGATTTCAATACTGAGCTACCATACTCTCCTTGCCTTGGGTTCCCTGACACCATCATAATGATGGCAATGAGTCTGCTACGTAGATGGTGTTGTGGTAACCAGGAAACCAATAAAGCATTCGTGGGAGGTAAGGTGTCACACATCATGCACCGTACCCTTTTCCTTCTGGTGAGTCTGTTATAATCAAGCTCCTAGTTGAACAATTCTTCCAACTCACTGAGACCAGGCTGGAGTCCTACTGATCCACTGGTGGGTGACCTTAGGAGGGACTGTTTCAGTGCCTCATGGCAGTGTTAGGCCTTGTGAGCACAGATGAGCAATTTCTAAAATTCTCTTAAAGACAGGGCTGTCTCCTTTCTCATTTTCACAGCCTGTTTCCCTCAGAGTTGTTTTTCTTCAGATTCTCTGCCCATTAATCTGATGTGACTGGAAACTACTTGAAAGACACATTCGTATTTGTCTTCTGGAATATTTTACTTTGAAAAACTTTTGTTTTTCCCTAATAGTGGATCTCATTTGTGTAATCTCATCAGTCATTGTCTTTCCTCATATGAAATCATTTGAGGTTTAAACTTGGAATGAATTTGGTAAAAATATAAGATTCAGATGTTAGTGAAGACAATTGCCATATGTATGTGGACACCTCAGAGTGCTGAAGTAGAATAGAAAAAGAACCCTGAGTTAAATGAAGCACAATTAAAAACTGATTTTTTAGGCCAGGGATTTAGCTCAGTGGTTCCGCCGCCTGCCTCGCAAGCGCAAGGTCCCCGGTACCAAAATAAAATAAAATAAAATGTAAAATAAAAACTGATTTTTCTTTGGTGATGTTTTGTGTTTCCAAATTTGGGGGATTAGGAGTATTTATCAGCCAACTCTGCCTTCCACTGCATCTTACATATTTTTCCTGAGTGATCTGGTTAAAACCCTAAAATGTTGCTTTCCTTCGCGGTCATCTGGTAGGGCCCTGTAAAGTTTAGCGTCAGATTCAGACTGCACTAGGCCGTCGTCTTTCTCGCCACCCCCTCAGCGTGGCCTTAGCAGTGTCCTGTGCGCTCTGCCCTCAAAGTCCGCAAATCCCTCCCTCCGGCTGGCATCCCCACCCCAGCTCCTCTCTGGGCCCCGCGCCCTCTGTGCCCGTGTCCTCCAGTCACAGCGCGCAGCCGGGGCGTCCTGTCCCTGCCCCTTGGCACATTTGGAGCCTTTCTTCCTGCCCACCGGGACTCCCGGTACCTCCGACTTCCACTCTGGCCCCTCCCTCTTTTCCAGTTCAGTACAGTCTTGAGCACAGGTTTGCGTCCTTGTCTCTGGTTGGCTGGTGTTGACGTCACCCGACACCCTGCCTTCTGCATCTCAGACCTCGGGGTTGAGGGCCCCAGTGCATCTGTCCCTGTCTGTACTTCTGGTCTTGAATCTTCAGCCTCTGTCCCTGGGTAGCTGCGGGGCTAATGCTGTGTGGCAGTCTTGGTAAGAGTGCTGTGTCTTCAGACCCGCCTCCCAAGTGAGTGGAGAGCGCACTGCCTTTGCGGGGGTGGGGGTGGGGGGGGGTGGTCAGAGTCTAGGTTATTGCTCATTACTTCCTTACAAGTATTTTTCCTTTGCTTTTTCTTTCCCCACCTTTGCTTCAACTTCTTTCCCATAATAAGAGCATTTAAAATTCCCTCTGAGAATTCACATTTGGTATTATATAAATATTTCCTGGAAATGCAAATAAACAGTAGTGAGAGCTGGTACAATGGCACACACGATAGTCCCAGCTACTTGCGAGGCTGAGGCAGGGGAATCTCTTGAGCCCAGGAGTTTAGAATTGGCCCGAGCAACATAGCAAGACCCTGTCTCTTAAAAAATGAAAGAAACGATCGTACCAACCCGTTACATAAATTCCCTGGAGGTGAATCAATGGCCTGACAGATTCTATTGATTTTGAACAGAGGGTAGGATGCACATTCTTGGGTAAACCTTATCAAAAAGTTTGTTCTGTTACGAGGGCAAAAATCATGAGACATCTGCATGGCCAGGTAGTGGGCCCTGGTCCCTTCCCCGTGTGTACTGTGTACTGACTGCTAGCTCATGCTGTGCCTAGAGTGCAGCAGCTGGGATGAAGATTAAATCCCAGAACTCTGCCTCTTGTACTTTTATCCCACAACTTTCACAAGCCATCTTTCTTTTTAAGAAGTATTTTATTTGGAAATAATTTCCAGACAATAAAAAAGTTACAGTACCCTTTGCCTGGATGCACTTTTTCTTTAACATTTTGCCCCATTTGTCTTATTGGAGTTAAGCCATATATTGTCATGGTTCACTCCAGATACTGGAGTGTATATTTCCAAAAATATAACGATATTCTCACATATAATCATCTCTAAGTTGCCCAGCTGGGCTCAGCTTCCTGGAGGGCTGGGATTATAGGCATGAGCCACTGCACCCAGTTCTTTGTTTTTTGGTACCAGGAATCAAACTCAGGGCCTTACACTTGTGAGGCAGGTGAGG